GGGAAAAAATTTGCTTGTTTAAAATGTTTACTATCTTGTTGAAAGTCACAGGCTTATTGTTACAACTTAATGGAATCACTACATGTGTTTATAAATACCAAATATATATAAATACAGAAAATATATTATAATATTATACATGAGCAATACATACCTGCGAAGCATAAGTTTTGTATGCCAAATAACCGGATGGGCGTCTCGAATAACACTACGATATTGCCGATTTAGGTCCCGTCCATTTAACGAACATCTACTATTACCGACAACCACGCCGTCTGGGTTCAACATTGGTATCAATTTGAAAATAAAACGATTTCGTAATTCCTATAAAATTTGTAGTCAAGTCTTTCGTCCTATTTCAATGGCTTTATTTTTTCTAAGGGGTAGATACAGATATTGTATTTACAAATTCATAGATGCTTTAGCCTCCCCTCATGCCACTATGCCAGAATGTGTCTTACAGATGTGAAGATATATCACTGACTTGTTTACAACCCACCTCACTTTTTATAAAGAGAACTTAATTAAAGGAGCCCAAACTCATACACCTACCAAGGTACCAACTAATTAGATTAAACGGCCACAGACTGCTCTGCAACGTTATGAATTATAATATAATTTATTTGATAAAGAAAATTTCTATTTGGTTTTAAGTTATCAGATTATGAAAAAATTTTCAATTTATGATTCTGATATGCATCTCAAATATGTACAAGATACAAATTACAGTCAGTGAGGTGGTTTAATCTGTTTTCTAGGGATGATTTTTCCAAAAATCTGGAATTTATATCTTCTTTTTTTCCATTGCACTTCTTTCATAACTATAAAGGGTCGGTGGTTATTATTTTATCTACTATACTTTCACAWGGATTTTTCCTTTATCCCTCTACTTAATTCAAACTCTTGCTATATTCGTGGCAAACTTTATTCTGTCTACCCTTCTGTTTTTTGATTCTTTCTCTACTCCTCTTTTSTTSTACATTTATTTTCACAGTCGCTGTTACCACCTCTTATCACCTTTCTTTATAACGTGACTGAAATATCTTAATCTATTCTCCCTCATTTAATTTACAGTTGGCCTCTCATACACTAACCCTAATAAAAACTAATTTATTTTTCTATAATCTTGAATTATACAGCACACCTCAATTTTACTACCAAATATATTTAGGTATATCATATATTATTATATAGATTAATAATTAATAAATTGTCTATTGTTAAATTACCTTTGCTTGTGATGAATCTCCGGTTAAAAAATCAATAAATCCTTTCATCATCCAAGACGATGGAGTTTCAGATGGATGGACACGTGCTGTTAAAACAATTACTTTTTTTTGCTAAAATAAAATGTAAGAAAACAACAATTTTATACAGAAAAACAATAAAATTAATAAATCATAACATATACTTTAGGATCTTCTTCTTGGCAAGGCTCCGTTACAGTCAAATAATGTACATTATTTCCGGCTAATGTTCGGCACAAAACTCTAAGCTTTGTAAACACCGCTTTAACCGGGTCATCCTAAATCGTTGACATTTTTAATAAAAATATAAATATTATCCTAGTTGTTAATTTTTAATTATCAATAATGATTATTACACTTTATTAAACTTATTGTTTAATGACAAGGATTAGAAATATTAAGAACAACTATTAGTCGTTAAACATTTATGTTATCTAAAAATCGAGATCTTAGAATAACATTTTTTAATTAATATTATAATTTATAATCATAATCGATTATTCCGTAACA